AAAAAAAAAAAAAATCTTTTCTTATCCCCTTATTAAAGTGTATTGTTATAATTGTTCTATGTTATTATTAGTTACTGTCATTAATCTCTCACTATGCCTTTATTATAAGTTAAATTTTACCCCAGGAATGTGTGTATATGAAAAAATAGAATCTATTTAACATTTGGTCCTAGCCCTGATTTCAGGAATCCATTGGAGATCTTAAAACAGACTCCTGGTAGATAAGGGATGCTTCTCCAGTGTCTTTCAAGATCTGTGCTTTTGTTAAAAGTTCTTAAATAGTATTAAAGATGGGGGTGGGGGATAGAAAGGCTTGTTTTTTTCAAATGAGGTATGGAGTTGTAATTATGAATTACATAAATAACCTATTGTAAACTTCAGCAATGGGAAAATGATTTAGCAGTATGCATCTGTTAGCATTTTAACTGCAAGGACTTTAGAAACAACGCAGAAATATTTTGGACAATGGAAGGATTATAAATAGCTATACACTGGTTGTAATCATGTAAAATAGGCATGTGTGTGCACGAGAGAGGAAAACATGCAAAAATAAAAGAAAAAAAGCACTTTCTTTAATGGGGTGGCTATTTATGGTATTTTTTCACCCCCAATACTGCTCTTATATTTTTATGTTAAGAAAGGTTTTAAGATTAAATATTATCCTCTGACCAGCCTTTGTATGTTTAGGATACAACAGTTGAAGCAGTTACTGGAGGATTCTACCTCAGATGAAGATGGAAGCAGCTCCAGTTCCTCAGACTGTAAAGAGAAACACAAGAAAAAGAAGAAGAAAGAAAAGCATAAGAAAAGGAAGAAAGAAAAGAAAAAGAAGAAAAAACGAAAGCATAAGTCTTCCAAGTCAAATGAGAGCTCAGACTCAGACGAATAGGAGAGAAAGACACTAGAAGAAGATATTTGGGGTCAGCATGTGAATTCTCACCTTCCAGCAAAGATGTGGCCCACCAAAGAGTCATGGCTCCCAGGTGCTAGCTCTAGACAGCTGCCTTTTTCAGTATCCTCCCTGCTGCTCACTGGGCTTTGGGGTTCTGGAAACCATGCAAAGGTGAAGAGGGCAAATTTCACAGTTGGTGGACTCTCACCTGGGCACTCACCACTGCACTTACAGGACATGATGCAGGCTCGGGGTGCAACAACAGAGGTTGCTTACAAAGAGTGAGAAAGATAAAGAAATTGGGAGGAAGGAAGCAAGGCAGGCCAAAGGCTGTCAGGGGGTCAGGTGGCAGCTCCTTTGGCCAAACTTGGTGCCCTGTTTAGCATGAGGAGAAGTCGTTCCAGTCTTATTGTGGAAGACAGGGAGGCAGCGAGGCCTCTGGAGACTCCACAGCTTCCCCAGGGTGGGCACTGGCCACGTGGAAGGAGTTCCACACTGGCAAGGTCAAGGTTGCCATTAAGTGGCATCCCCTTCCTGTGCCTCCCCATTACCAAGGTAAGGAGAAGGTTGTTCCCTTTTCCTCTGTGCCACCAAATGGCCTCTGTCTTTCTAAAATCCAACTAACAGAGGGTAAATTAATTCTCAACCTAAATATAAGATTCATCTGCTCTCGAACCAAAGAAAATAGGTGCACATACACCCAAGAATAACCCCAGAAGCAAAAGTTCTAAGTTAGAGCTTGTAAATGAGCCCCATTTGTATACACACAGTATCTCCAATAATACAGTGGGCAATTTATTTATTCCAGACATTATTAGACTCATCAAACCAGAACCTTATACAGATTAAGTAGAAGGAGCAGGAAAAGGGGAAGTAGAGCCACCAAAATTTAAAGTCGAGCCCATGTCTTACTCAAAATTATTCTAAATCACATTCTGTCACATGTTTTGCAATAGCAGTGCACTTTATGGTAACCAATACCAGGACAACATCCTTGGTCTGGTCAACCACAGATGGCCCATCCCTTCATGGTCTCAAGTTGAGCCTGCAAAGGTGTGTGGGGCAGATGGCACATTGGTGAGTCCTCATGTGCTCACAGCCGTAACTGCAGGGGCATGTCTTGGGCTCATTGCGCAACCATATGGTTTATTTATGAAGGGGTGAGGAAGATAAATTGGGAGAAAGGAAATAGGCAGGGCCAGAAATAGGCAGTAGCAATGATCAGGTGGTTATTTGAAGCAGAGATCAAGCTGAAAGGTCTCTGTGAAGATCTTTCCAGAGCCACAGCAGTCAGCAACAGTAATCAGAAGGCTGAGCTGGGTAGCACTGGGCGCTGGACTGGATATCACTAGAGGCAATGGCCCCAGGAAGCAATGCTGGCATGCCATGGAAAAGACCAGTGTTACAGCTCTTAGCAATGCCTGGACACAAGCCAACATCAGGCACAGGCCAACAGAGGCATTCAGCTGATGCTGGAAGCAGGTTGAGAGATCAGGTCTGCAAAGGTCTTTCCAGAAGAGATTATGGATCAGTCTGTTGCAGTTCTCTGAAGTTCAGCTTATAGCCCCTTCAGAGTATCCACCTTTGCAACCTGATTGGTTGACCTTACTTGACTAGAACTGATGCAAGCGCAAAGATTGATTGGTTCCTTTAGGAGTGCCAATCATATCGGTTCATTTATAATCCCAGCTAGTGATTATGCCAATTGAGCTCCACTCAGATTGGTTCACTTTCAGTACCGCATTGGTTTCCAAGCAAACTGCATCGGTGCATCCAACCTGGCCTGTACAGACCAAACAACTTTGAATGGCTTCTGCCAGGTGCCTAGACTAAGGGCGTCTCTGAGGAAGCTCCTCCAGGTGCTGCCACAGCTGTCACCCTTCATGGGGGCTACTTAGTTAACAGACTTCAGGTTGTCTTTTCTGTATTGTGAGGATAATAAAAGCTTATTATTTATTTTTTAAATGTATTTGCTTTTTCCTTCTAAATAATGCATGCATGTACACCATCTTTACAAGGCACACAGGTTTCATCATGAAAATTCTTCCTTTCTTCCCTAGCTACTTAGTTCCCTTCCAAATTGGCTACCAGTTTTACCAGTTTCTTCCAGAAAATTTTGCATACGACTAACAAATACAGATATATATATACATTTATATATACACGCACACATATATGCAGCTCTTCTGCCCATCTGTGACTAAACAGATGCCTCTCTCCTTTTCCTATTAAATCCATCATTCTAAAGTGTAAAAAAAAGTGTTAGACTTAAAGTGACAACTTATATTTCCCTTATGGAGCAGACAGTATGCATGAACACTCTCTTTTAAGGTTTCTGAATATCCTTGTTTGTCTTCCAGTAGACTTAATGATCATTTGGCTCAAACAAAGCAAACACACTTTGAAAACACTTACACTGTATACAAAGTAAGTGTGTTAATAATAAGTTTACAAATAACTCAATCTGTCTTAAGGTTGACTAATCTAAACCCTTATGATGGGGACTCCCTAGTGGGGCAGGGGTTGAAGTCTCAGTGTGCCCTGAAACTATCGCCAGCCATTGTGGCATGAGTTCAGTCCCCAACCAGGGAGGTGACCCACACGGCACAGCAAGCCTCTCCTGACTCGCCCACGGCTCCCCTCAGCAGTGTATTTCAGTCAATCCTGTCCTGCTTCCCACTCTATCTCTGTTGAATCCTTTCACCTCCCGTACCTCTTACCTACACCCCAGTTCTTGGATGTATACATAAATAAATTTTTAAAAACCTCTAAGATCTGCAAAGTAAAGAGAAATGGAAGTAGTAACATTATCGTAAAAAGGAGTTATGAACTAATATAACGCGCATCCTGCTTTATCACAGACCTACATTTGCTTTTCTATTTGCTGGAAACACATTGAAAAGTAGGTCACAAAAGGAGGATGTTTGAGCACCATGTGATATTATACAATGGAACCCTTTAGAAATCTTATTACTTCTTACTAGAAAATGCTCTATGATCTCACACATCTCATGCTTGTGTTAAAACAAAAAAAGCTAACAGCCTTCCCAAGAAATTGATCACTATCCCAAAAAATCATTACATGGTGCCAGAGGATAAATCTTGCTCACACAATAAACTACAGGAAGGATATGCATGCACTTAGTGGCTAGTTAATTCTAGACTTGTTTTCTTGCCAGATGCCAGGTCAACTGGGCTGTGCACATTATCTGTGAGCCCTTTTTCTGCAGATTTCCCTTTAAGAAAGAATGCTACAGTTCCAGGGTTGAAGCAAGAAGAGCAAGAATATGGGGTGCAGAGAAAAGCAATATTTATCTCCTTTTTTTGTTCCCTACAAATTGTTCCACATCTCTGGCAATTGGAGAATCTTACCGGGTAGCACCACAAAGTGACCACCCGAAAAATGTCCCTTTATTTCTTTGTCACTCTGGACAGAACATAGGAAACTGAATCAATCCCTTGGACAACTATTAGATATGGGAATAAGTCCTGTTGATCAAGGAAAGGAAATGATGGAGAAGGCAAAGAGTGGGATGTAGTAGAAAACGGACTGCTACACCACAATTCACATCTTCACCTTATTGTCACAGCCCCAGAAATTGTGACATAAAATTTATCAGTGTAACTTTTTTGAGTACAGTAGCATTATATATTTACATGGTTGTTTTAGGACTCCTAGGTCTTCTTTATCTTAAAACTAACTTTGAGTAACTTCTCTCCTCCCTATCCCTAACCCCTGACAATCACCTTTTTATTTTCTGATTCGCAGAGTGTCTGCACCAATGTACATTTCTACTAACATGGCATAAAGGTTCCTATCCCTCCACATCCTTGCGAAAATTTGTAATTTTCTGGGTGTTTTTTTTTTAGATGTGTGATGGTGATATCTAATTGTGACTTTGATTTTCATTTCCCTGAAGATTAATGGTATCGGAGTATCTTCTCATACATTTGTTGACCTTTTATTCACATCTTTTGCCCATTTTAAAAACTAGCCTATTTTGGGAATTTTTTTTATTATACTTGTTCTTTACATACTCTTTATCAGCTACATGGTTTACAAACATGTTTCCCTTACTATTGGATGCCTTTACGCTGCTTGTTTTTTGCAGAGCGTTTTTCAGGGTACTGTACAGTCGGTGCTACTGAGCAAGTCAAACCTCCAAGCTGCGATTCCTTCTGGGAGTTGTAGTCCAGCGCGTCGAAGGCGCGTGGAAAGCAGACGAGGGCGTTTTCTCAGTGGACTGTGCATGGAATCAGCCGGATGGACTGAACCACTGCTAAGTCCTCATTAGCAGATATGGCTAATTAAAACAACTCATTATGTTTTTGGACAGTTCCTGGAACCCAGCCGGTGGAGAAACACGACTCCCCGCCCCCCTGGGACGAGGACCACGCCTCTTTCATCTCCGTCCCCGCCCCTCGGTGAAAGTGGGTGGAGCTTCCAGCGGAGGCGGGGCTAGGTGGGAGCGGGCGGGGCATCCGGGCTCTCGGCGGGTCTGTGCATTGAGGCCCCGCAGCCTCCCAGCGGCCTCTTTTTTCTCTGACCCTCAGGCGCGCGAGGCTCTATCGATGGACCCGGCGGCGGTGGCGAGAGTGGGTGCAGTAGCGAGCGCCAGCGTGTGCGCCCTGGTGGCGGGGGTGGTGCTGGCCCAGTACATATTCACCTTGAAGAGGAAGACGGGGCGGAAGACCAAGATCATCGAGATGGTGAGTGCTGGGGATCTGCGCGCCGGTGAGCTGCGAGGCTGCCTTGCTGGCCTCGCCTTCCCGCGCCGCCAGCTAAAAGTGCACAGCGGGTCGGGGAGACCCTTCACCCTCGTGGGCGGCGAGCTTGAGGGCCGGGTGTCGCGATCTGCACCCGGGACAGCGGCGCACCGGTTCCCATGGCCTTTGTTACTGCGTCCATTTGAAACTGCGAGGCAGCAAATTGATTCCTCCTGCTGCAGAACCCGTTTCTCAAGAAACTGCACGTTTTGGGCAGGTTGCTCCCTTTTTCCTGTATGGCTTAGAGTTCTTTTTGCACCCGATCTCGGATGAGTACGCTTCTGAAAAGATGCAGTTTCAAAGAATGCCAATGAACCCAGTGGAGTTTAGAATAGTTTGCTTTGTACTTGACTGTTACTCTGTCTTGTCTCTGCCAGACCTCTTGATAATTTTGTTTAGCATTTTATCTCAAATTTCATTCTGTGTCAACAATTTAATTGCATTATAAGCATTATCTCCAAATTTGGAGATGTTTTTCGTGTGTATTTGTGTGTGTGTACACTAAGTATGTACTAATCCTCTAAAATGGGAATTAGGGGAGATAGTCTAACATCTTAACTAGAGCCCACTCATCAAGGCAGATCACTCACTGAGTTGCTTTCTAAGGTAATTGTTTAGTACTTTAGGTATACTTCTGTTCTTCACACCTAAAACCTCTTTCAGATTGGTAATTAATTTGTCATAGTCAGAATACTTTATTTTAAAATATTCTATTTTTACATGTTTTTATATTTCTTGTTTATTGGTTCCCCATCATCATCCCTTTGACCTTTCCCCACTAATGACTTCAGAAACCTCACTGCATTTATTATATCCACTAATTTTTATAAAATCTTGACTTTGTCAAATAGTCTACTGTGTAAATGTCCAGTACTTTGTCATTCTAACTTGCTTTATTGTGCATAATGCCCTGACAGCCTTCCATTTTGCTGTGAATGGTATATCTCATTATCATTTTAACCTGCTTTCTTATTGGGAGTGATAATTAACATTTTTCATATATCGAGCTTTTAGAACTCCTCTTTGGTGAATTGTTCAGACCTTCAGCTCATTTGTTAATTGGGATGTTTGTTTTTCTAGTGTTGAATTCTATTTTGTGTGTGTGTGTATGTATCCAGAGAGAGCACTGGCTAGTGTGTGCTTGGTTATTAACCCCTTGTCAGTTAGGGACTGTGTAAACATTTTCTCCCATTCAGTGGAATGTCTTTTTAGTCTACTTAGATTTCTCTATCTGTGTAAGAGATTTGAATTTGAGGTGATCCACTAGTTTATTTTTTCTTTTATTTCCCTTGCCACAGTGATCAAGTTACCAAAGACAGCTTTATCAGTGATGTCATAGAGCATATCACCAATATTTAGTTCTGGAGTTAGTTTTAGTTTTATAACTAGATCTTTAATCCATTTAGAATTTGTGATCTAACTTCATTCTTTTGCACGTGACCTTCCAATTTTCCTAGTATCATTTATTAAAGAGGGTTTCTTTTCCCAACTGTATGGTCATGGCTGCTTTATCATAAATTATATATTGATTGGTGTGGGGTTTATTTCTGGGATTTCAGTTATGTTCTGTTGATCCATGTGTCTATTTTTATACCTGTATCATCTGTTTCTTTATGTAGTTTAAAGTCAGGAAATGTGATGCTTCTATTTTTCTCAAGATTGGTTTTGTTTTTAGAGACATTTTATGGTTGCACATAGATTTCAATATATTTTGTTTGGTTTCATGGAAGAATGTTGCTAGTATTTTCATGGAGATTGGTTAAGTTTTATATCACTGTAAGTAGAACAGTCATTTTTATTATATTGTGTCTTCCCATCTGTGAGCATGGGTCTTTTCATCTCCTTGTTACTAACTCTTCTAGTGTCTTCTAATTCTTGTTATATAGATTCATTTTGTTGTTTTTTTAAATTCTTTTTTTGACATAGTCCTTACTATTTTTTTTTTTAGGATCCACTTCCACTGTCTTGTATAACTTGTTGTTTTTTCTTTTATTTTTTTATTAAGATAACATTGGTATACAGCACAATATATGATTCAGAGATACAGGTTCACAGCTCTTAAGATATTTATTACGGCCCTCCCTGGTGGCGCAGTGGGTTAAAGCACTGCACTGAGAA